TAGTAGTAGGGGGAGGAGGAGGAGGAGGAGGAGGAGGAGGAGGAGGTAGGAGGGAGGAGAAGGATGGGGAGGGGAGAAGGAGGAATAGGGAGGGGAGGAGAGGAAGGAGGAGGAGGAGGAGGAGGAGGAGGAGGAGGAGGCGGAGGAGGAGGCGGAGCGGAGGCGGATGAGGTGAGGAGGAGGAGACTCAGCTATGTCTATGTATTAGGATTGAAGGAGGAGGAGGAGAAGGAGGAGGAGCGAGGAGGAGGAGGAGGAGGAGGAGGAGGAGGATGAGGAGAAGAAGGGGGAGGAGTTTCGAATGTGGGAGCGGCCGAGTCCCCCCCCCTTTCCCCACACTGCCCCGCGCCGCAGCAGCTGGTGCAGCTCTCCAGCAAGGCCAGCCAGCGCGCGCGCGAGCGCCCCGGCCCCCTCCATGTGCTCCCAGCGCGCGGGCGCCCGCGCACGGAGAGGGAAGGAACGAGGCGGAGGGAGACCTGAAGAGGGGGCCCCAGAGTCGAATAACAAAAGCGGCATGAACATCCTCTTCCTCCTCCTCCTCCTCCTCCTCCTCCTCCTCCTCTTCCTCCCCCTCCTCCTCCTCCTCCTCCTCCTCCTCCTGTCCTCCTCCTCGTTCTCCTCCTCTTCCCAAATCCTCGCTCCCCCGCCTCGTTCTTCGCTCCCTCCCTCCTTCCGCCTCCTCCCACCCTCTTCTTCTTCCTCCTCCTCCTCCTCCTCCTCCTGCCACCGTCCTCCTCCGCCCCCATCCCTCCTCCAGGAGCGGAGAAATTGGCATAGACGTTGACTTCCTGCCAAGTCGAGAAGTCGGCTCGACTGGCAAAGCATAAGTCGGTTCGACGGCTCGACTTCCAAGTCGCTCGGAGAATGTCGCCGACAGTCCATGGCAAAGAGATGGAGTTTCGGAGGCCCGCGCGGATCTTCTGTTAAGTCGGGCCTGTCCCTCTACAGGAGGAATATCCAAAAATGGTCAAAAAAACAAGCCCGATATGGGGATTATTTATGTGCAGCACATGTTTGGATCATCTTTGAGTATTTTTTGACTTTTTTAAGCATTTTTCCTCGGGAAATCGGCCTGGACCTAAATCTTTTGTGCGCCCCCCCCCCGTGGCGCGCTCCTCCGCGCGTCGTCGTCGTGGATCGCCGTCGTCGTCGTCGCCGTCGTCGTCGTCGTCGATCTCCGTCGTCGCCGTCGTCGATCGTCGATCTCCGTCGTCGTCGTCGTCGATCGCCGTCGCCGTCGTCGTCGTCGTCGTCGTCGTCGTCGTCGTCGTCGTCGATCGCCGTCGCCGTCGTCGTCGTCGCGCTCCTCCTGGCAGCGCCTCCGGCGCCCGCCCGTGGCGCGCTCCTCCGCGCGCCCCGGCTCCGCGTGCCGGTTCCCTGCGCGCGCTCCTCCTCCTCCTCCTCCTCCTCCTCCTCCTCCTCCTCCTCCTCCTCCTCCTCCTCCTCCTCCTCCTCCTCCTCCTCGTGTGGTGCGGGCCGGACGAGAGGGGGGGAAACTGGGAAAGCGGGGGTCACGAAATTAGCTGCATGCAGCTGGGTTCGGCTTCACCGAGGGGCCCACTCTTCGATACACAGCCGCCTCCGGCGCCGGGAGGCGCCGGGAAAATCAGCTACGTGAGCTGATTCTCAAACCCCCACTTTGCTATTCTCCCCTTTCGCCCGGCCCGAGTAGTGAGCCGAGCCGGTGGGATTCGGGGTTACCGCACGGTTTTGGGACTCGGGTCGTTCTCCGAGGACGTCTCGGGCGGCTGGGGCATCCGAGGTCCCAGAGCCGAGCGTTGACGGACCGCGCGGTGAGGTCTTGGGGGATTTCGAGGTCACCGCATTGTTTGTCACCGCACCGTTTCGGGACTTCCAGAGGACGGTCCGATGCGGGCGGGCGACGGCGAGGGGTCTGTGTATGTGTCGAGGGAAGAAACACGGAGACCATGACCGAGACGTCGCGGGATCTTGTCGATACCGAGCTTGGTCGTGGTCCACGTCGGCCGACGCCGAGTCGCGAGGATGATCCGCGAACTGACGCTGACCGAGATCGGCGGTGACCAGGATCGGCACGACGTTTCCGCGTTCAATCTTGGTCATGGTCCCTGTTTTCTTCTCCTCTAGGCTGTGCTTGTTTTTAATGCAAGGCAAATCACCGAGTGTTTTCTTTTTTGGCGTTTGCGGCGATGGCAACGGATATGGGGGTGGTTGATGGACGGCTGCCTCGGAGCGCGTGCTGCTATCTGCCGCCTATCGGTTGCCGCCGTTGTCCGCTATGTGCAGCTACTTGCTGCTGTTTGCCGCTATCTGTCGCTAATCTGCCAGCGTCTTGTCTGAGGTAGGCTTCCACGAAAACGAACGTAAGAGGGGGGCGGCGATATTGGCAGAGGCGGGGGGACGACGCCTAAACGCGCGTTGTGATGAGGCCTGCGGCGGGTAGGGTCGCCCCGGGTTGGGCGGGTGGGGTGCGAGTGTGAACACGGATCGGGCGTTTCGAGCTGGGGGTGGGCGACAAATG